CGTGAAATCTTTTGAACTGTTGAAGGCGGCTAGACAGAATTGGGCAATTCTTGTGCAGATGTGGCACCGATACTCCATTTTTTTTTTAATTTGATTTGATTCTTGTAAAGATAAAGCTATGTTAGTGGAATCGGATATTTTTTAGTGTGGTATAAGGAGCCAACCATGTTTCCAGCGTTTTAGGGGTCGTATATGCGTTGTGGTGTAATGGATATCAGCTCGGGATGAGAAGTCGGAGAGCAAATTTCGAATTCCAGTCGGGTTCGTTACATTCAGTTACGCGCAAATACCCTCCCCTCAATCGATTGACTAGCAGTACAGACTGGTTTCTATAGACTTGGTTGGCAACTAGTGTACCGTAGAAAGAAACTCGGAAAAATCTTCTGCTTGGTAAGTCATGAATCGAAAGAGACATGATCCCCTAAGTGTGTATCACGTATGGCAATTAACTTGTGGCACCAATAGTATACAAGATACAACATGGCACAATACTATAAGATAAAGCTTGGAACCAATACTATATAAGATAGAACATGGCACCAATACTATATAAGATAGAGTATGGCACCGCTATTATATAAGATAGAGAGCATGTCACCAATGCAGTATAAGTTACAGTATGGTATCAATACTATGTAAAATAGAGTATGGCCCCAATACTATGTAAAATAGAGAATGGCACCAATAATATATAAGATAAGGCATGGCACCAATACTATGTAAAATAGAACATGGCACCAATACTATATAAGATAAAGAATGGCACTAATACTATATAAGATAGAACATGGTGCAATACTATATATGATAGAGTATGGCACCGCTATTATATAAGATAGAGCATGGCATCAATGCAACATAAGTTACAGTATGGCATCAATATTATGTAGAGTATGGCACCAATACTATGTAAAATAGAGCATGGCACCAATACTATATAAGATAGAGTATGGCAACGGGAGTTAGTTATTTTCTGTAGCGATACACGGAACAGACCATCCTTGGTTCGGGCAGTGTGTATCTTGCCCTCAGTGGAAACAGGTGAACAATACTAAATAATAACAATAAGTAAATAATAAGAACTAGACGATACCTCTAGTCAAGTGCAGCGCAACTAGGACAGTCTAACCCCGTAGATTAAATAAACCGTTACCCAAATCGATATGTACCTGAGGAAGACAGGGCAGGACCGAAACGTTGTGATAGGAACAAGAACTGAGGCCAATAGTCCGAATATAAATAGTGCAAATAAAAATGTTTTTAGTTGATAGAATTTAAAAACAACTGTATCATTTTATGACTACACTTCATTAATGTAGATCAGCTATAAAACCTATCGGAAAAGTGTTTTGACTTGTGGCTGAGGTAAATGCATACGAGTGTTTGTTGTTCGAACCTCACTCAGATCATTCTAAACTTATGTGTCGCGACATTAATTAATTACCCGTTCTTTCTTTAATTATTATCTAAAGTTTTAATTGTATTTCGTTTTATAGACATTTTGAATTATATATTGGCTTCGTTGACAAAACTTAAGCAACATGTCGGAAAATATTTTAATTAAAAAAACAAAAAAAAAACAAAACAAAAAAACTCTCATCAACGGTAAAAGCCTGAAAGACCAGTATTTCGAATGCAATTTTTTCTGTAAATATTTTCAGAATATATGACACACTAAACTGATGGCGTATTGGAATATCGAAAGATGCCTTCTAAAAGCTAAGCAAAGTACTAAGAAAAAGGAAAATACCGTTAGAAACAAAGAAAACGATGCTGATTTTATCTAGGTCCCACTCCTCATATAAACGTCAAGGTTCTAGGGTCCTTGTATATCAGATACCGTGGGCCTTCCCCTTTGTAAACAGAGGGAATGCTGACTGGGTCTGAATGTTATTGGACTCTAGATTTCTTGAAATTCATTTTTTCCCCATTCGATTACATTCGTTAATTAAAAATTAATTTACCCGCTTTTTTAAATTCCCAGAATAAATAAACTTCCTGGGACGAAACCGGTTGCTTTTATTTTAGCTTTTGCTTTTAAAAAATGCCTTATAAATGTTGCCATTTCCTATCTATTATTAAATTCTGTACCACGAAAGACTTGGAAGTGTTTTCTCGTAACGCGTTTAGTCTTTTAGTACTTCCACAAAGTATAGGACGA